AGATCCATCGCTTCCCCTACCCAGGGGTGAACTGAACATGAGGACTAGCGCCTTAGAAGAACCTTTTGGTCTCTCTCTCCCCCCCCCCGCCCTTGTGATCTTCGGGGGGGGGGTTATGCGAACTTCTGCCTGCCGCTGGCTTCCCTTCCCCACAATAGCGTCTGGGGGTTGCAAGGGGGGGGGCTCGATCCCGGGCCGCTGCTTTCAGGAAGCCGGAAACCCAGCAGACAAGGCGAGCGCGTGTTCTTTGTGTGTCGTCTGTGCGCGCAAGCGAGCGGCGCAAATCAACGCGTCCTTGGGGAGGGGGGAGCCAACCGAAATGACTCAACTGTTCCCCCTTCCTCTCCCGCTTTTATCTGCGATCAGCCACGGCGGGAACCCTTTCCCATCCACCCCCCACCTTCTGCAAGCCCAGCCCCAATCAATTTACTCCGAAGGAAGCCCCACCGGTCCGAAAGAAGGTGGGGGCCTTTCCCTTCTGGCTTAGAAAAGAACGAGGGTTCTTCTGTTTCCAAGTGAGCGCAGCCCGATCCAATAGGCAACGCGATCCTATACTTGTTCCCGGGCAGTCCGATCCTATACTTTTTATGCCAAGTGACCAGAGCGCTCCCGTTCCTTCCATCTTAGCGTGCTCAGGATCGCCGGCAACCCACCCGATCCTATGCTTTTTCACTCTGAACTAAACCCCCATTGATCCGAATTGGGTTTCTCTTCTTTCCGTGCCGGGCAACCCAATCCTGTGCTCCTTTTTAACACAGAGCAGTAAGCCTCACTCAGCTTTACATTTACCCTGCCCAGGCCTGCAATGCGCAAGCCCGATCCTCTGCGCTGGCACGTTGGTTTCAAAGGCTCCCCACCCAGCTTTGGGAGTTTCGATCCCCAGCGAAGTCCTGCGGTATTCCGCCAGACCGATACCGATTTAGATTTCTTTTTTGCCAACCGGGGAAACCAAGTTGCGCATTCTCAGCCACGATCCACGCCCAAAAGCTCTAGCTGGCAAAAACCCAGGCACACTTAACTAGCGAGTGATGAGTCCCATTGAAAGCAACGCGCAAGATGTATTTGCAAGATGGCTCAGCACTGCGCGCCCCCCCCACCCGCCGCTCTGCGAGTGCGCCCCGCCTAGTCCGATTCCCATCCCACGACCCGCGCAAGATAGGACGGGGGGGAACGAACCCCGCGGTATTCCTTTGAGACCACCACGTTCCCTCCCCCCGCCTCCTCCTCACTCCCATTAGACCCGGCAAGACTTACCTCTCATTTTTTTAAAAAAACACAACCCTCCCCATAGGATCGAGCTGCGCGCAAAAACAGGCGCATCGTGCATACAAGAGAATTTAGTCCCCGGTTCACATTTTTGGAGGTGAGAGACACACACACAACCTACCACCAATCCCAGCCATGAGATGATTATTTTTAATAAAGAAAGGGACAGGGGGAACCCCTCCGAACTTTGTTTCGCCACGAAACGCGCCCAACCACCCCCGCGTTCCATCCCCCCTCCCCTTTTCCTCCGTCCCGGCCCCGCCTCCTCGCCGCGCGCCTGCGCGCTGGGCACAGCCGGCGTTTTCAAACCCCGCGCCCTTCTCCCCTGCCCTCTTTGCCTCGCCAATTCGTTGTGAATGGCGAGGCTGTTTGGCCGGAGAAAACCAGAGGGAAGAACCCCCGCGCATGCGCCCCTGGCAGGAGAACGCGGGGCGGGGCCATGGGGAGGGGGGTGAGCGCGAGCAGGGCTCCGCCTCCTCCTCCAGCCCTTCCCCTCCTCGGTGGCTCCAGAGACGCCTCAGAGGCGCGGCGGTGGCCGGACGTGTCCCACTCGCGCTCCCTCAGCGTCCGGTGTGTGAGGGGAAGAAAAAAAAGAAAGGCGCCGTCGTGAGGGGACGAAAGGCGGATCTTTATTTTTTTAATTTCCCCCCCCTCAAATCCAATAAAACAAGCCCCCTTCCTAGCCGGGCTGAGGTAAAAATAAAATAAATTAATCAATAAAAGAGCCGGCTGAGGTAAAAAAAAGAAAAGGAAGGAAGGAGGAGTCCCGGCTGAGGGAAAGGAAGGCGCCTCAGGTCCCGCCGGCCGAGAGGGGACCAACCGGTCTCTCGCCGCCGCCGCCGCCTTCGTAGCCTCCTTCCTCCGGCGGCGAGCGGGGAAGGGCAGGGTGCCCGCCCTCGGTGGCTGGCCCGCCGGC